TATTATTATTATTATTATTATTATTATTATTATTATTAACTGCTTCGCTTTCCTTCCCTTCCCCAGGACCTGATGCCGTTGAGGACACTGTAGACCAGTATAGTGTGAGGTCCGAGCGTATCTTCCTGATTGACAGTGGGTTGGTGTTCGGATCTCCTAACCCTATGTTCTTTATGACACCTCAGCGAACTGTGGATGTCTTCCTGTCCTTTGAGACAAGTGATCGTCGCTGGGATGACAATCCGCCCTTCAAGGTATTGTTAATTGTCATGTGATCTCATTAGCAGGAGGGTTTAAATTTCTTGTTTTAAATTATGATCAGGTACAAAGAAATAGATTCCGATATCTATAGACTATAGCATGGCGTGATAACTAAAATTTTGCGAAAAAAAAATGCAAGGGCTCATTAATTGGCGCTTGTGCCTGTCAGAAAATTTTGAAAGCCAAGGTCTCGTTCAGTATTTCACGCAAAGAGCTTATAATGTCGCCGATTACTAAATTTTTGAAGCTCTTTAACCAATAGGTCACGTTCGATATATCAACATTCTAACATCGATCCGCGGCTTTCGGGTCAAAATTGCATTTTTTAAAGTTTCCTTTGTCTTTCAATTCCCAAAGGAGACTTGGATACAAAGAAAACACCACCAAACATAGAAGTTTGTCCTGAAGGTCTCGGAGCCATGTTAGAATATTGATAAATCGAACGTGGCCTATTAGCACGATGCCTTCTCCACACAAAGCCGTGTGTTAATGAGGCAAAATGTCAATAATGACGTCAGGAACTCGACTCTTTCCTCGCTGAAGAGAATTCTGACGAAGAACCCAACAAATTCCACTTTGATGCGTTAACTTAGCTTTACTGAGATCTGTGTGCCGTGAATGGTTGTTCCTTACGCGTCAAAATTCAACAGCGCGCGACAACCAATCAGAAGCCCTAAACGGATCTCTGTGGAGCTACGTCATCAGAATGGAATTTTTCGGGGCAAATACGGGAGACTACAGACCTCTTTTAGCGAGGGATGTGTTCAGCTCGAAAGGAGAGATAACGTATTTCGAATTCTAATCTGGTTTGTTCTTCGTTTTATCCTATATTTTCAGGAGCTCTTGTTGGCTGAGGAGTGGGCGAAAAAGAACAACGTGAAGTTCCCTCCGATCAACGCCGAAGAACAATTCAAGAAATACGGAATGAAGGAACTCTATGTATTCCGTCATCCCACCGACCCTTCATGTCCGATCGTGATGCATTTTGTAATGGTAAATTTAACGTTTCGGGAAGAAAGCGCACCAGGTAAAAACTTACTAAAGTATCTACAAACTACGATTCTTTGACTGAACCGTCACTCCAAAGCTTCCTTAACTTTTGTAACTTTCTTAAAACGTTCAAGTTATCAAAACGGCTGAAGCCTCAGGGGATTAATAAATTTTAAACTTAACAAGAGAAAACATGTAGCCTTATTACACGATTAAGTTAGTTCAGAACTGAGGGCCAATAACTAAAATCAGCCAATCAGATTGCTCCATCTCTAAGCATTGGACCGGACACTGTCCCGAATGATCCTGCAAGATCATTCTGGAAGATTTTCTGGTATTTTCGGTCGTGTAATAAATCAAGCTTAACTAAGTTTGCTAGGGACCGTACTGGGAGAATATCGGCCCGAGGTCTTGAAAGTACGGTCCCGAGCAAGCTTGGCTAATGAGATAGATAGACAGAATTTCCCCGAGGAAGGAATAACGTTCAAGCTTGCTAAGGCCTGGAAACGAGTGTCTCAAATGTTGCTTTTATCGCGCAAGCCCGTTAACCAGAGTAAACCCATTTTAAATGATCCAATACTAGGCCTGTCTGCGCAGCAGATTCAATTGTGACAACTGGCTACTTAGAAGTGGTGAAATTTCCGGTCTTACGCCTTCCCATGTGAGGGAATTTCCTGTAAAAGCGAATGGGGATGATTTTTGTACCGGAGGATAAAGTTCATATAGATTGTTACCGTATTGGTAGCAGACACACCTTTAGAGATACCCTGGTACCTAGCTTAGGGAGTGTTCAATAGGGAAACATGACTATGATGACAGGAGCTATCCCTCACTTGAAGACTAGTTCCTCTTAACCGTGAAAATGAATTCGACCCACGCCCCAAAAAACGATTTTTAGACTTTTATTAAACTGGGGTTTAATTTCCTCTCATAATTTCTTAGACATCGTCACGTTTATCACACGTTAGACTATACCGGGATTTTACTTTCTAATTTCGGGCCATTAATTTTTCTTAGGACCTTAACGAAAAAACTAATTAACTTTTATCCCACTTTCCTTTGACAGGGGTCAAACGAAAGACCGACGAAGAGAAGAAATTTGCCGACTTCAAAATCCTCGATGACCCGGATAATTCCTACAGCACCTTCCGTTTTCAGTATCCAAATCTTCAGTTTGATCGTCTCTCAGATTTAGGTTACTTCAACACGCTTCTCGGCGAAGATGCCATCAAAGATGTCATGGCTGAGTGTGTGAAGAAGCTGCGAGCTTAGGTCAAAAGACTGGCAGGCAATGAAAGAAAAATGCTTTGTCACATTTAATCAATCAGCAGGAGGAGTTTCTTTTCTAAAATAATACCTATTACAACAAAATTTGTTTCATAACCTCAAAGCACACGCAGAACGTTAAATTGAATTAAGAACTAACTTGAAGACAGAACAAGCTAAAAATTATTGTTGATATATAGTTAACGTAGTTAGCTTGTTTTTAGTGTGTTTGGGCAAGTTAGTTAGCTGGTAATTAAGATAGAAAAATTAAAAAGAACAAAAGAGCTCGGAAATAGTCATGCCATAATTTACGTGCGAAGTTCAAATAGTTCAAATGCTTAAGTGAAGCATCCTAGCATTATAATCAGAAACTAGCGTTGAAATTTAAAATAAAAGTCGCAAAACTTCTCTGTTCCGTTTCCTATCAGATCAATGACATTTTCCGTTGTACTAACGTATGTCCTTCCTTTCTTGTTTGCTCCCTTGCTTGCTTTCTTCCTTACGTCTCGGTCCATCAGTACGCACCACCCCTCCCCCACCAAAAGAAATGATAAAAATAAAAATAAAAATACAGTGGAAAAAAAAACAAAAAAAAAAAAACGGACGAGGCCAATATCCAGCCATCTTTACTGAACAATCTTGGTCAATAGAGGGTTTATAACATGGCTTGAGCATCATTTCTTTGCGGGACACAGCAGGCAATCCTGAGCATAGGCGTACGGGCCGGGGTGGGGGAGGCGGGGGGGCTGCAAGCCCCCCAGTTACAGAAATTTTTGAAAATTTTCGGGCAAAACGCTGATGATTCGGGCAAAAGTACTCGGGAGAAAACACTCTAAAAGGTAATCAAAGCCAGGCTTGTAGGGTACTTTCTCTGACGTTCGCCTTGTCAAGACGGAGTTGAGTTCAAATGATCTAAGGATCCAGGAAATCTGTTTTAAAAAAGCCATATATAGTTAAATGTGTATCGTGGAAATTCATGGGGATAGGTATTACTTCCATCAACAAAACAATGACAGAATCAAAGCAAACTAAAACCTAGACTTTTGTTTTTGTGGTTGCTCTGAAAAGAGCCGTTTTGAATGGCTCCACAAAGAGCCGTTTTAAATTTTCTTGAACTTCTCGTACGAGGAAGAATTTAATGTTTCTTTTATAAGTTCCTGATTTTACTAGGCTATCGATCGAGGTCATGGAGTATGAGAGGTTTCAAAATAACTACATTGGAGTCCCAATTTTTCGAACCCTCATTTTTTCGAACTTCCCGATAACTCGTTTCCCTCTCCTTAGTCGAACACTGTAATTTTAGCCCCGATTCCTCAGAACTCACCGATTTTTCGACCCAACTTTCGTTTCCCTTGGAGGTTCGAAAACTCGGGACTCCACTGTAATTTTGGAATGATAATAGTTTCATTAGACGTGAGAACTGTGAAAGTTTTTGTTTTTACTGCGATTTGAGTGCGTTTGTACAACACATGCTTTCGGGCACTGTGTATTTTTTTTCGGCCAATAAGGTCCCCCCCCCCCCCCCCCCCCCCCCCCCCCCCCCC